CCTCCTATCTATCCATCCATCCATCCATCCATCCATCCATCTATCTATCTATCTTCTGGTCCTCCTTGAAACACGCGGCCCTTTCGACCGGGTCTCTCTCCCTCTCTCTCTCTCTGTCCAGGCAAGTCGACCGTGGCGGCTCTGGTGGAGCGCTTCTACGATCCCACCAAAGGAACCATCTTCCTGGACGGGCGGGATATTTGCACCCTGGACGGTTCCTGGCTCCGCGGAGAGCTCATCGGCTTCATCAACCAGGTACGGAGCTCCCAGAAGGGAAGACTCGACGCCGGCGGCAGCATTTCCCCCCCCCCCCCACCCCCCCGCTCTCCCCCCACCGGGGCTGACGTGGTCAGACGTCACCGACGCTTGGCGAGCCACTCGGGGGCGGGCAAAGAGGTTGCAGTGGGTCAGGGGGCCGGTTGGCGGGGTGGGGTGGGGTGGGGTGGGAGGGTGGGGGAGGTTGAGCCCGGCTCGCTGAAACGACGAGCTCGCGATCGGCTTCGGGGGACGCCTGGCTAGCTTCGCGCTGGAGGCTGTTCGTAGTAGCCGTCTCTATCTCTGTCTCTGTCTTTGTCTTTCTCTCTCTCTCGGTCTCTCTCTGTCAGTCTCTCTCTGTCTCTTTGTCCCTCTCTCTGTGTCTGTCTCTGTCTGTCTCTTTCTCTCTCTTTGTCTCTCTCTCTCTCCCTCCCTCTCTCTCTCTCTCTGCAAATGGAGCAGACGGCCATCTTGAATGAGCCCCCTTTTACAGTCCATTCTCTCTCTCGGTCTCTCTCTGTTTCTCTCTCTCTCTCTCTGTCCTACTCTGTCTTTCTCTCTCTCTGTCTTTCTCTTTCGCTGTCTCTCTCTGTCTTTCTCTCTCTCTCCCTGTCTTTCTCTCTCTTTCTGTCTGTCTCTCTCTCTCTCTCTCTTTGTCTCTCTCTCTGTCTCTGTGTTTTTCTCTCTCTCTCTCTCTGTCTCTCCCTGTCTCTGTCTTTCTCTCTCTGTGTCTTTCTCTCTGTCGGTCTCTCTCTCTGTCTCTCTCTGTGTGTGTCTCTCTCTCTCTCTCTGTCTCTCTCGCTCTCTCGGGGCCCGAGTGGGGGGGGGCTGACCGCCCAGACAGGCACGTCGGTCTCTATTTCAGGAGCCGGTCCTGTTTAGCACCACCATCATGGAGAACATCCGTTTCGGCAAGCTCTGCGCCTCGGATTCGGAGGTTTACGCGGCCGCCCGGCTGGCGAACGCCGACGAGTTTATCCGCAGCTTCCCAGACGGATACAACACGACTGTGGGTGAGGCCTCTAGCAGTTCAGGGACCCTCCCTCCCTCCCTCCTTCCTTCCTTCCTCCCATTCTCTTTTTTCCTTCCTTCCTTCCTTCCTTCCTTCCTTCCTTCCTTCCTTCCTCACTTTTCTTCCTTCACCCCCCCTCCCTCCTTTCCCCCTCCTTCCTGTCCTTCCCTTTTTCCTCCCTCCCTCCTTCCTTTCCCTTCCCTCCCTCCCTTCCTTCCTTCCTTCCTTCGATCCACCCATTCTCTCCTTCCTTCCTTCCTTCCTTCAATCCTCCCTTTCTCTCTCTTTCGTTCCTTCCTTCCTTCCTCCCTCCCTCCCATTTTCTTCCTTCCTTCCTCCCCCCCCTCCCTCCCATTTCCTTCCTTCCTTCCTCCCTCCCTCCCTTCCTCCCATTTCCTTCCTTCCTCCTTGCCTTCCTCCCATTTCCTTCCTTCCTTCCTCCCTCCAATTCTCTTCCTTCCTTCCTTCCCTCCCTCCCTTCCATTTCCTTCCTTCCTTCCTTCCTTCCTTCCTTCCTTTCCTCACTTTTCTTCCTTCACACCCCTTTCCTTGCTTCCTGCCTCCTTTTTCATTTTTTCCACCTTTCTCCTTCCTTCCTTCTCCCGTTCCTTCCTTCCTTCCTCCCTGCCTTCCTCCCATTTCCTTCCTTCCTTCCCTCCCTCCCTCCCTTCCCTCCCCCTTTTTCTCCCTCTATTTCCCTCCTTTCTCCTCCTCCTCCCTCT